GGAGGAGTTGAGAAAGCTAATTGGAGCGCCTGTTTACATTGAGTGTAGTTCAAAGACACAGCAGGTACATAAATATTGTTCATTTCAATCTGGGAAATTTATTTGTTTTCGAGTCGCAGGAGTGATTTATGTTAATGGCTTCTTGAAAATAATAAAAAAAAAACAGAATGTGAAAGCGGTCTTCGATGCAGCCATCAAAGTGGTTCTCCAGCCTCCGAAGCAGAAGAAGAAAAAGAAGAGAAAGTCACAAAAGGCCTGCTCGATTTTGTGATTCACTCCATGGAAACAGTTATGGATGCCGGGATGGATACTGTGACCCATTTAGGCACATAAAAATCTGTTATCTCTCACCATGTCAATTATCTTTCTCACCTTGAGAAAATAGCCTCCTTTTGTGGTATGTAGTCTGAACTAACTGAACTAGGTAACTCTCTATAATCATCTAAATATGTACCCTTTCTTTTTCATTTTCTCCTGGGATTGTTTTTTGAAATTTGTATGTTAATGGCCCTTTATGTCTTGAATTTGGGTTTTACATATGGTTGATCTATTAACTGAAACATGGAGATGAACTATATGTAAGAACCACCAGATTGTTTCCTCTGGCATCTTTGTGATGTAATCTGATCTTTAGTGCTTTTTTTAAGGAGCATCTAATATTATTTGTGGTTTGCTTTTGCTTACCTGATTACTTCATCTTGCTACTTTCATCCTCCTTTCGGTTTCACGATCCTCGGTTTTAGTCTAGTTGGTTCACGAATTTCATGTAATCATGCTAAAAATATAGTATCAAACTTCGAGATGCGTCTTTCTGCTGGAAAATGTCAAAATGGCAGCATAGATACATGAATTGAAGTGATTATGGAGCCAAATGATTCTCTTTACAGATGGAGTGAGAAGGAAGAATTAGACATGGAATCTTTATATTGAAAAACGTCAATTATAAGTATACACGAGATGCCAACAATATCTTCTCCATTCATTGTTTGTGGCTTTAAGCATCTGATGGTCAATATCAACTCCCACGCCCATAGAATACCAACCTTTTTTCAATGGAATATGTACTGTGCCCACTTTGATCAAAATGGGAAGAATTGGTGGACCTATTTTCACACCTCTTTTTCCCAGCACTTTGCAATTCCTCCATTAAATAAGCTATCTTCCCTCTCCTGAAGTTCTCCAAAGAAGCCATTGTCCTCCATTACAGTTTTCGTTCTCCCTGTCTTGAGTTATCGTTTCTTAATGGCCTCGAAAAGGATACTGAAGGAGCTGAAGGACTTGCAGAGGGATCCACCAGCTTCGTGTAGCGCAGGTTGGAGTTATAAAACCAAAATCCGATATCTGCACATTCTTTGTTTGCATGATAAATTACTAGTTGTGTGCAGGTCCTGTGGGTGAGAATATGTTCCATTGGCAAGCAACCATCATGGGTCCGAATGATAGTCCGTATGCCGGTGGTGTTTTCCTCGTGACCATCCATTTCCCTCCTGATTATCCTTTTAAACCTCCCAAGGTACCATCGATTTCTAGTACTTGAATCGAACAAGTCCAAGTTATTGACTTTCGATGATCAAATCCGGGTCTATTATTCAGGTTGCCTTCAAGACCAAGGTTTTCCACCCGAACATCAACAGCAATGGCAATATCTGCTTAGACATACTCAAAGAACAATGGAGTCCTGCGCTCACCATCTCTAAGGTTTTACTGTCCATATGTTCACTGCTAACGGACCCAAACCCGGACGATCCGCTGGTACCGGAGATTGCTCGGATGTTCAAAACCGACAAGTGCAAGTATGAATGGACAGCTCGGAGCTGGACCCAGAAATATGCCATGGGGTGAATAAGTAGGTGCCATTAACGAAACCAAGTTCTGATAATATAACATAAGCCCCTCTGGTTAGAATAAAACGCAAGTCATTTCTGAGCTTTTTATCTTATTCATTTAGGTGATGTTCTGTGCTTATCAAAATACTCGTATACACAAATCTTAAATATCATCTAAAGTTTGAATTCTGGCATTATCGATGTAATAAATTGAACCGGATGAATTGTTCCTATGATAAAATTTATTATTTTATATTATAAATAATCTTATTTTTTGCATGTGATTATAAAGGCTCATTCGACAACATCGTCTTCGAATAATGTGATATCTTGTAAATTATGATCAAAATCATAATATTCTTGTAAATTATGACCAAAATCATAATATTCTTGTAAATTATGATCAAAATCATGTACACCTTCATATAAGGTAGAGTTTGAATTCTTTTAAACATGTAATTATTGATAAATTAAAATAAAAATTATGTCAGACATTCTTCATCTGATCAGTCATAGTCAAAATCAATAGAAATAATTTTATTTATTTATTTTTATTCAATTCAATCTATTTTTTATTAATCAAATAATTAATTCAAATTTAATCTAAAACTGTAAAAAATATCAAATATTTAAAATTATTTACAAATTAAATTATTATAATTTATCTTTTGACAAAAAAATATCTTATAAGAAGTACATCACATTGTAATTGTAAATGATGTAGAAATTGATATGATATTCCCACCATAACTGTTAAGTATTTAATAAATAAATTGATCGATAATCTACAGTAAATCTTTGAGATTTGCCAAAATCCGGAGAATTGTAAAAAAATAAATGTTTGGAAATTTGAATCATCATGAGCAAAAAAAATATGAAATTATCTATATTAATTTAAGAAACACAGCCATATTTCAATTAGAAAATAAGCACAGGTTAATTAAAGAAATCATTTTAAAACTTATAATTTCTGTATTTGATTTTTATCTTAAAATTTTAATTATTATCAAAATAGTTTCATGCGTAACACAAATATTACATATTCATGTGTAACACAAATATTACATATACGATAAATCAGGGCAGTTCTTGAGCCTGGAGAGGAGAGACACCTAGGGGTGGGCATGGGACCTGAACTCAATGGGTTCTGACCCGATCGGTCCGGGTTTTTTTATTAAAAAAATCATGTTCGGGTCGAGTTGGATTTTTAAAATGTGATGTTCAGGTCGGGTTTGGGTTTAGGGTAAAAAATATCCGACCCGACCCGAAAAAATATATAATTTTACCTTATATATTTAGGAACAATTACAATAATATCTCTCTATATATTATTTTTTTCAATTAAGTAACTGTTTTTATTGAATAAAAATAATAATATTATTATTATTTTTGGTCGGGTCGAGTTTTTATGTTATATATCGGATCGGGTCATATCTATGGTAGAGGATTCCTTATTCTCGGATCAGGTGGACCAAAAATCCGATCTAACCCGACTCATACCCATCCCTAGGGACACCTGCCCAGGTTCCCTCTTCCTCATGTCCCTTTTACCCATAATCCAAAATTATAAATTTACATATAATTTAAAATGATAAATTTAACTTGGAAGGATTATGTCGTAGTAAACCTTTGTTCTATTCAATCTAGATTAATCACATATCAATAATTAGAATACCAAATTAGATATCAATAGTTATACGAAATTAAAATCATCAAAAAATAATTATTCGAAGATTAATGTTATATTTTCTCCATTATAAAATTATGAATTTTAGTGCATTAAGAATAAACGAAATCACATAATAATTTTAGAAAACACTTTAACATTCTTTATTAACATACAACGGGGTAATATTAATTATTAGTTGGTTTAAAAAGATGTAAGGTTAAGCTTCAGAACTTTAACATTATGTCCTTCCATAATAGACCTTTTGTAATATTTGATTTGAATTGGTCGATAAATAAATTAAATACTAACAATTATACCTACAATGAAATAATAGAAAATCTACGTTCAAGATATCAAAAAGAAGTGAATCGTAAATTTTAAGGTTTCACATTCATCGACGATGATACTCGATGGCAACTAACGACAACTGGAAATCGATAAGTGGCGGTCGATAATGAAATATTTTGATTGAATTTAAAAGTCAAATTGATATTTTACTTAAAGTTTAGGGTTAAATTAGTTTTTTATCTAAAATTTAATGATTAATTAAAAATTAACCACTTTTGATAAACGTGTCACGTCATCAAACTAATATGAATTGAAAGATCAATAAATAAAATATAATAATCGATATAAATGATTAAAATTTAATATATTAATAATATAAATGATTGAAATGCAAGTGAATAAAAATATTTAAACATGCACAAACCAATTTAATTTAGTGGTTAAAAAAATAATTGTTGTTCCTATAGGTCATGAGTTCGAGCACCAACAACTGCCAGAAGGGTGATTGAGCGTTCATTGTTAAATGGTTGAGAGTATTTATAACATATACTACATTGTAATCGCATTAACTTAATCAAATAAAAATATTTAAACATAAAACTAAAATAATTAATCTGACAATTAACTCTCAAAATAACGTAAAGTATATATTTAGTACTTAAACTATCAATTTTGATTAATTTTAGTATCTAAATTTTTAATTTTTTTCAAAATCATACCAAACTTTTAGTTTTTGTTTCATTTTAGAATCCCGCCGTTAAAAACTTAACACGTCTAGTACCTAAACTATCAATTTTGATCTGTTTAGTATCTTAACTTTTAATTTTTTTTAAACTTAACGTCAAGTTTTTAATGGATACTAAAATGAAACAAAAAACTAAATATTATGTATAGTTTAAAAAAATAAAAATTTAGATATTAAAACGAAAAAAAAAATTTGATAGTTTAAGTACTAAACACATAATTTATTCCTTAAAATATAACCTAAAAAATATTATATTTTTAGACTTGACCCTTATTTTTTTGTTAATTTGCAGTGAAGCCGTTGAATCACCTTGGAATCTCTGAAACCAAGACCAAAGCGGCTCTTGGTTTTCCACTTTGGTTCTGGTACGTCCATTTTGGGAATCTTCAAAATGCCATAAATCATCAATCTACCATTTTTCACTGACCTTTTCAGCAATATTAAAAAAAAATTAATATAAAGAATCTTTTCTTAATTCATACGCTTTTTATTCTAAAACAAACAGCCACCGCTTATTTTCCCAGCAAATCTGTTCGTCGAATATATGATAACGATGCCCTTTTTCCGAGTATTTGTACTTTTGATTTCCCGTTGAGCCTCAAGTTGTATCGACTTGTTCGGGTCGTCTCAGGTTGTTCCACTTGCTGTGGTCTTTTTCCCGAGTAAGACTCTTCCTCTATTTTTTCGTTGATAATTGTCTGATCCGTTTCCATTGGGAACTTTCTTTTTCATATACTGCAATGATTTCTTTGAAAACAGTGTTAGGTCGTTACTGAATTGCTTTAATTTGGTTGTATGTGTAAGCATTTATGTGAGAATTGTTAGAATATTTAAATACCTTAATTTGCTTCTTTGGTATTGCTACTTGCTAATTGAGCGCGGTTTATTAATTGGGTCAGGTTCAAAATTGTGAATTGATCTCTTCTCACTAGATTTAAGTGGGATTTGTATTGTGATGGACGATGGGGAGCTTGATTTTTCGAACCAAAAAATGATTTCCGGCAATAACATAGGTGATATTCCTAGCAGTTGCTCGATGGACAGTTTCTTTGATGAATTATTCAACGATTCCCATGCCTGTACCCATACACACACTTGCAACCCACCCGGCCCCGATAACTCTCATACGCACACCTGTTTTCATTTTCACACCAAAATCGTGCCTGCCTCAAGTGAAGATAATGTTGCTGTTGATGATACGGCCGAGTCTAGGGAGAAGAAATCGAAGAAACGTCCGTTAGGTAATCGAGAAGCTGTTAGGAAGTATAGGGAGAAGGTTAAGGCACGAGCTGCCTCTTTGGAGGACGAGGTTGTTAGATTGAGGACTGTGAACCAGCAGCTGGTGAAGAGATTACAAGGTCAGGCTGCATTGGAGGCTGAGGTCGCGAGGCTTAAGTGTTTACTTGTTGATATTCGAGGAAGAATCGAAGGGGAGATTGGATCATTTCCTTATCAGAAACCAGCAACTAATGTTAACATGATGAATGTGCCTGGTGGTGCTTATGCGACGAATCCCTGCAATGTGCAATGCAATGATCAGATGTATTGCCTTAATCCTGGAGGAGAAGATAAAACAGGAGAAGCTGCTGCGCTGAATGGACAAGGATTTAATGGTTGCGGCTTTGACAATATTCAGTGCTTGGTGAATCAGAACTCTGGAGCAAATGAACTTTCTACTGGTGGGGTTAGAATTGCAGGGTCCAATGGCAATTCTTCTAGCGCTAAAAGGAGGAAAGGTATAAATTTAGGAGTCTTTATCTTTATTTCTTCATATAATTTATGTTGGATGATGGAACATTAATTCCTGATTTGGTTTATCGATATTTTATTGTCAATTGTAACTAGCATGTTGACTATGGTTATTTGATTAACTAATTTCTGACTTTGAATTCCAATTCTACAGCTTTTTTGGCACAGTTTGTGCTTCTTCTACTTTATTAGGTCTGCTAGAAGTAGTTTTTCTTGTGTCTTTGATGAAATCGTTACTTTTATTGCTAGCTACTATTATAAGCGTCCATGATTGTTCTAAGTATGTCAACCATCCAGTAATTCTAATTAATAACTCGTATTTGTTATTGGAGTTTACACTTTACTTGCGATATAGAGACCAGCATCAGTGGTGAAACATTATTTGAATATTTAGTCGTCGTTTTATAACCACGTAAAATGTTGAAAATTAAAATTCTTTATGTTTATGGTTTTTCTTTCTCTCATGTTACTTGGCTATGTTTATGGTATAGAGAAAAACAGTATATTTGTTGTCGAATGTCTAACTTGTCCAAGTCCTTATAACCATACTTATAGGGAGGTCACTTGTTTTTGCAATATTCGGAATACTATGATCCATGGTTGTTTCAAAAATGAATACAGCTGCATACAATATTACAATGTGTAAAACTCTGCTTTTGAATGTGCTCTGGCTATGATACTGACATTTATTTTATTCCGAGGTGTCATCCAGCTACAACAGGTTGATGAACATGCGGAAGAGGGTACATATTTGTGTTCTAACAAGCAGTTTCCTTTGGATGCATAACCTTCTTCAGTCAGGTTGCATTGCTTTTTTTTTTATTTTATTTTTTCATTTTCTGCTCTCTTTTTTTGTTTTTTCAACCCTACTTATAGGTTATTAGAGGTGGGTTTTGGGTGTTTTTAGTTTATGGTCTAAAGCCAACAAACTTGGGAAGCTGAAACTTCTGGATTTTTATAATATGTAGCATTTATGAGTAGTGACAGACGGTCTGGTTTCCATCAAGTTAAAACTTGGCTCAATTAAACGCCTTATCCCATCTTCTTACTCACAACGTATGATATTCATCGGGAATTACTATCAATGATGCTGTTCTCTGTGGTGTTTTTCTTCTTTCTAAGGTATATGAGCTCTGTTATTTCTGAACGACAGAATAAGTGATGGAATAACTTTGATGTTTCGAAAGTGTGAGCCCTTACCAGGTGAGTTACAAGTTCCACTCCTTGCAGTCATGCTTTGTGATTCGCATAGGAAGCTATGAATTAGCTTGCATTGGTTTCGGCCTTTCCTATTCCGGTTTTGCATGGCATTGACAAAGCACAGGAAGTTTGCCTTTTGCATATGAGCATTCTTTAGCTGTGGGGTTGCCTACTCGAGAGTGAAGTGGCCGTCCTTCAATCGAAAATTATAGTCTGTAAGTGATAACGGACCCCAGAGATTATCCCTCGTCTACCTTGCTAATGCTACAATGCTGGAGTTGGAACGAAAACAGAAAGGAAAGTGTGTGTTTGAGGTTGGGTAATTCAAGCATTCTTAGATCCTGAATTTCAACTGTTGACTTGTTCTTGTCTTTATTGCTGGCGATTTCAGACAAAGATGTTTGAACAGAAACTAAATTTTGGGTCGGGTATGGTTTGGATTCAAGATCAAGTTTAGTCATCATGTTCGGGTTAATATCGGGTAAATATTAGATTATTAATATAATATAAATAAATATTTAAATTATATAAGAAATTGAAATTCTTATAAGTATGATCTCTCACTCCATCCTTATTACTTAGATACTTAAAGAAACCTTATAACACTCAATCCCAAATAAGTCGATAAAAAACATAGATGAGTTCCAAAACTCATCAAAAAAACTCGAACAATAGGTAGATACAAACAGATCTGGGTGCTATGGAAAATGAATCACGATAGGGAACTTAAAATACTGAAAATCACTGACAAAACGTAAATCATAGCCAAATATCACGAGAATATTATCTACGATCACATGTTGTATATCCAAATCTAATTCGAGGGTATAAAATAGGAAAAATCAATAAGATAACAAATGAGCACCATCTTGATTAATCATGATGACGTTAAATTCAACCCCGAGAGAAAATAAACGACAAACGATTTAAAAAGAAAATAAAAACTTACCAAAAAACAGAAAAAACGTACTATGAAAGCAAAAAAAATCGTGCTATAAAAGTAAAATTGTTAAAAACAAAAAAAAATAACAAAAATACGAGATATTGACGACGCCAACCAATACTAAAGCCGGTATTGCGGTATGTTAATAAAAGAAAAAAAAAAAGACCAAGACAGAAAATAAGAAATCAAAGTGCTGTGGCTTTATATAGTTGAACTTACGTAATATCTTTAATTAAATAAAATATTATCGTACAACGGGATGGATGAAATTAGCGGTGAATTTCGGCTTTAAATTTATTAATCATAAAGTATTTATATTCAATAGAAATTCTTTTTTTAATTTATTTTTTCATTAAAAAATCTTATTATATTTTTAAAATTGAACAAGATAAAATTTAAATCATAATCGACGATGAATATGAAATTTTATGACATAAAAAAACTAAAGGTTATAAAATTATAAGGGACGATTACTCCTTCTAAGTCAGCCCTGATCGTAATATTAAAACTTCTAATATGAAAATGGAATATAGAGGAAAATAATATTGTAAATTGAGTACATTGATTTTTTAAAAAAAGCACGTGATCATCTTGTTGGAAGTTAAGTTCGAGATAGTTTTATTAGTAATGATTAGAATATATTTAAAGTAAAAATTTGTGTTTTGATTGCACAATCTCTCTATATAGTACTTAGATACTTAACCTTATAACACCCAATCCCAAATAAGTCGAGTAAAAAGCATAGATTAGATCAAAAATAAAAGATTTACAACCAAATATATTTTCTCTTTTTTCTTTGTCTCAATCGAATCACGTAATAGAACAAGTGGTGGTGTATAGGGATGACAAACGGGCGGGTCGGGTGCGGATACCCCTCCCCCATCCCCATACCCACCTAATATTTTTCAATTGACCACCCGCCCACCACCCATGATGGGTACAAATTTTCAAATCCACACCCGCCCACGCAAGTACATTTTCAAATCCATCCCCACACCCACTACCCACTAGCGACATATCCATCTAGACTCGCCTGACAGCAAACTAATGGGATGTTGGAGTTGGTTCCCAGACAGTTCGTGATGGGATAGCAGCGCATGCTTCAATTTGTCAGAGGAGTGGCTCTACGAATGTTATGAAGACAGATTGTAGGGAGCATGTAGTCGCAGAGTTGGATTGTTGAGTTGCTTTCGATGTTAATGCTCATAATGCGCCTAATATGGGTTTTGAAGGGTTAAAGAACATGGAAACTGCTTCTTTTGATATTAATGCTTATAGTACGGCTAATTTGTGTTTGTATGGGCAGCATGGGCTAAAGAACATGGAAAGTGACATGGTTAGTGAGATTATGAGTTTAATTAAAGAGCCGAATATTTCCCTAATTAAAGACCAGATTAAAGACTAAATATCCTTAATATTTGGTTAAATTATATATTATATATTATACAATATTAAAATTTATAAATTAGTCTCTAAAATTACACCTAAATTCATTATGGTCCAAAATTTAATAGATATTTAGTTGGGCGGGCGGATGTGGGGCAGGCGGATGCGGGGCGGGCGGATGTGGGACGGGTAATGTCTCAAACCCATTACCCGCCCACCACCCACGATGGGTATCACTTTATAAATCCACACTCGCCCACTACACGCTAAAATTATACTCATCCCCACTCCAATTGGAACGGATGCGGTGCGGAATCCACGAAACTATACCCGTTTGCCATCCCTAGTGGTGTATCTATCTTCACTCGAGCTCGCACGTGCCAGAAACGTCCCTTGCGAGTAGGACGGTAAATCAGACAGATATCTCTCCTGCGATGAATACGATAAATGAGACGAAAATTCTTAAAATTGATTCGATCAAATTTTGATAAATATTTAATTCGAATTAATACGATTTGAATTATTAATAAGTTAAAATAAATTATTTTATATTCGACATAAAAATCATATGAATAAATCAAAAATATAATAAATTAAAATTTTATTTTATAAAATAAATTATTAATAATATTGACATTAATGTGTTATTTTTTAAAAAGAGTACACTATAATTTTTTATATATTTAATGTTAAATTCTACTTTGAGTTTTGTTTAATTTTTTTTCAAGTTTTTTTTTAAAGATTTTATGAGTTTTAATTCATAATTTCTAATTCGAATCAAACTTAAAAATTTTAAACTGAGTTTTCAAGCGAAGATCATCTCCAAAAGTTTTCCAGTCTGGTTTGCAACTATACCTGCGAGTCCTGTGCGTAGTGAATGTATCCACCCGGCGGCGCCTTGTAGTAATCCCCTGGGGCATAAGGGTGAGCCACCAAGTCATACGGCACGTACGGCGTCGGCCACCACCTTCGATGGCTCCACGTATTCGACCACCGTCAGCTTGCTGGTCTTGCGATCCACGTCCACTTGCGTCACACCTTTCATCCCTTCCACTGATTTCTTCACTTTGCGCTCGCATCCTTCGCCGTCCATCTCTACCATCGTCTGAGAAACAAAATTATTATTACAGTCGGTTTGATATGGACAAAAACGGATAACCACAAACGTCCCTATGGAGTTTTGTCGCTTAGATCAACAAAGAAAAACCCATCAAAAACATAAAATATTAGCATGCTGATGGGTAGATCCGGTCCGACACCCAAACCAGTTAAATCTAATCAAATTGGAAGAAAGGGACAAAAAAACTTAAAAACACAACAGAAACAGTGAATTTCTTGATCTACTAACAAAGAGACAGCTTTTATACCTGCAGCTGCTTACGTTCGTTCTTGAGCTTGGAACTGCTATGAGAACAGAAACAGTTCAGAAACATGATCCAGAACACCCATTTTTGTGCTCTCCCTCGTCTGACTTCACCAAAATGGACGGCCACTTTTTCCTCTGACAATTTGATTACCAACGTCAAACGGAGAAATGGACGGCCACTTGGTTAGATCCAAACTGTTGAATGAAAAATGTTTCTTTTGTCCGTTGGATCCAATAGCCCATGAATTTTAATGAAACAATTTCCCTATATAAGTCACTAACTAGTAAGGTTTTTTTAAGGAATTAACCAATTTTATTCTAAATATAAAATATCTCAAATTACAACAAAGATTTACAATAACAATCTTAATTTAATTACATAATTAGGAAAATTTTCTATAAATATTGAAACAAAACTAGCAACTTAAGATCACATAAGGATCAAACAGAGAAAGATTAAAAATCTAACCAAGAAACTCGAACAAAGATAGATACAAACAGATCTGATCGTATCAGCAAACGAATCACAAAAGGGGTCAAGCTATTGAAAGGCCACATACAAATCGCAAATCAAACTCAAGCGACGTGAAAAGCTATCTACTAACGCAAATCGGGTATTTAAATTCAATCCGAGGGTCTAATAAAACAGGAAAGATCAACAAGATATTAGATAAGCGGCATCTTAATAAATCGTGGCAATATCAAATCAACCCTTATGAACAAAATAAATGAAAAAGTGTCAAACAACCGAAAAATATGATAAAAATATAAGAAAATGTGTCATAAAAGATAAATGAGAACGTGTTATATAGGTAGATTTATTAAAAATTAAAAACAAAAAAATAGAGATATGATATAAAAAATAAAAAGACAATAAAAATATTAATAATCAATAACCAACATTAAAACTAATACCATATCGATCAATAAAGATAAAAAATAAGAAATAAATAAAAGACGAGCGATACACCAATAAAAAAAATTAGGTTTTTTTCTATGAGATAACCCCACTCATCTAGCAGTAGAATAAGGCCCGATCTTCGTTGGAATACCGCTTCACAGATTCATGTACTTCTATTATAAATTTAGCACCACGTTGACTGATCAAAGGGTAGTTGGTTTCCTTTGAATACGTTACCCCTTTTTAACTCATGCTTTTAGATCATGCAGCAATTAAAGGACACATTTCTGAGTTTAGAGATTTTGAGAATTTTTTTGTATCTAAATCTTTTCTTGCCTTATTACGAGAATATTGTATTATTTTATTTGATTTGTTTATTAGAAATATAAAATTATAATATTTAACTAGAAGAATATAAAATTAATTCAATACATATTTTATCAAATTATCATTGTGTTATATGTTTTTTTTCTTTCTAAAAAGTTAAACTTTAATATTAAATTATAAATATTTTAATGAAAATTCATGAAAATATTTTAGTCGTTATATTATCTAACTTCAGAAAAAAATACATTTAATTCATAATTAGTATATTATACTTACATTTTTAAATAATTTTATTAAGTATCATATTTATTTATATAAAATATAATATAAAAATAATATTATGGTTTTGGGTGGACAAAGATATTATTT